CACTGCTTCCTCAGGTGCACTAGTAGGGGGCTGGATTGGAAGTGGAGCAGTGGGACTTGAAACAGCATTCACATGGGATGCCATTGTTGCAGGCAGTGGCTTAACACACTATGCCACAATGGCAGCCCCCACAGTTATGTTCTGATACTATATTTCCACTGGTGTATATAACTAGTATATTTATTTTATGAGAAGTTTATTTAAAAATTTTATTTGAGAGGCAGAGAGAGTGAGCACCCATTTGCTGATTCACTTTCCAATTGGAAGCTGGAAGCCAGGAACTCAATCCAAGTCTACCAGGTGGGAGAACCCAACTACTTACGCCATCATCACTGCTTCCCAAAGTATACATTGACAGGAAGCTGGTATTAGAAGCCTGTGCCATGGATTAAACCCTGAGACCTTGATATGGGACATGAGCATCCTATCCACTTTTTTTTAACGCAAGACTTGATAATACAAGATTTTTAAAAAAAGCTTATCTTTGAATATTCTTTTCTACTGATTTTATACAAAATGAGTGATTTTTTTCCATTATATTGTCTCACAGGGGATTCACAACACAAATGAAGTCCAGGCTGGGCAACCAGTTGAGTAACTGTCAGATAAGTCAGCCTCAAATGGTGATTAGATGAGAACAACTAAATATAAAGCTTGCTATCTGAATAATTAGAGAAGTTCTGCTCCCAAGAACAGTAAATTATGGAAAATACAATGGGTAAAAAACCAAAAAAGATAGCAATATTATGACACTGTTTACACTTATTATAAGGAATAAACAAAACTTAGTGGAAAATCAATTTGAATTAACCACAGGTGCAAAACTTTGCAGAATTCACAATCAATGTAAAATGTAGAAAAAAGGAAAGGCAGAAGTGGCGGCTATTCTGATTGATTTGAACCAGTTCAGGCCCAAATTACAAATTAATTTCAGAACAGAATCATCTATTTTAGGTTAAAATGACTAAAACAGAATACAAGCTTTCCCTTGGTTTCTGATGTTTTGAACTGTGCTTGAAGCTGTATCTCAGCATGTCAAACTGTGATGGCACTGTCCGTTCAGTGAAATAAGTGACTTGATGTTTTACGATTGTCCTTCCACTGAAATGACTCCTAGTCAAAAGAGTGGAAATAGTTCTTGGACACAAATGTTGTCTGATATCCTGTTAAATATCATTGTGAGTTGCAACAACATTAGTGTCAGCTACAGAAAGCTTAATCAAGAGGATAAGAAAAGCTTTGGAGATAAAGATATAAAGAAAAGGAGGAAATGAAAAAAGGAAGGGACATATTATGGAAAAAAATGAAAAAAAATAAAAGGATATGACAACCTGAAATCCTATTCAGAGCATTTCTCTGCTACAATTTTAGCCAGGAGAAAACCTGCTATTTTTTTCTTCTTGCTGTGTGGCATACATTCCTTTGCCCATGGGAAATCTAAGCCAGCCGGCTTACAACTTCCACAGCGCAACCTGTCTTACCTCATGTGTGCAACTGACGTTCCATAGGTTACAATTAATTCTATGACAGTTCTAACTTCAAGACAATTTTTCAGTGTAGGAGAGATTTATATGGACTTACCAACAGCTTCAGAGAGACCATAGACCTTCTGGTTATACGCATCTGTTTTATCCCATATAAAAGTATATGCCAAGTTTGGTGAGGCAGGAAACCACTTTTGAAAGAGCCTTCCTACGACGGCCACCATAAGATGAACCTTCATTAAATTAAAAGGTATCACGGACTGGGTCATGGTGATCTTGAGAACTGACTTATACCCCGCAGCTCTGGAACTCAGGTAGGAAAGTTTCAGATCTGTTCCTGGAATTGTGGTTTCTTCATGGAGCACCTAGGTTGGAAAAGAATGGAAGCTTCAAAGTGTGATCATGTATAACCATCAGAGGAAAAATCTGGTTTAAAAATCTAATCGAGCATCCAAGACATCAGAGAGTCACTATTCACAAATACACATTTCAGCTATTATTGTATTCGATAATTAAACATAACTCTGCTGTGAGCATAGTTTTCACCTCCTAAAAGCCCTTTGCCATTTGTTCTGAGTGAATCATACCTCGGGTGCTACTCCTCATACAGGAAACACTGTGACAGCTCCATCAGGCTGACATGCACTGACTTGTGAATTTAGTAGTCACAGTGGAGTCTCACTAACCCATCTTTCACCCCAAGCACCCTGGAGGATTAGAGCAGACGTTTGAAAGATGGTTAGCTCAGAACAGGGATGCAATGGAGGCCAAATATCTGGCCTACACCAGCTGGCTCATTTAGGGATTAAACCTATGCCTACAGCCTCATCAGCCTATTTGCAGGTCACAGCCTACAAAGACAGGAATGATAACAGAAAAGAGCAATTCATCTTGGTTCAATTGTGGGAAATGCCATTTCCATGTGGAGAGGGAATGTAGCAACAGCATAGTCTCACACTTAAACACTGAGCTACGACTTAGCACCGATTTCTGATATCATGGTGAATGAGCAAATGTTTTCAAGCTTCATGCCATCTTTCCCAGAGAACAACTAACGCATTACTGAAAGCACACAGAAGACACTCAATGCATGGTTTTGATTTGAAACTGGATTATATAAAGTAGATATAATTACGTAAGGATAATCTCCTCTACCAATTCAAAACATCATATCATGCCAAAAAATTTATACTGACATATGAAATATATATTCTATGTAGCAGCTAAATTTTCCAGAGTTTGGATTTCCTTTGTCAATGCTCCTCTTAGTCTGGGGAATCACAACAGCCCTTTATAAGCTCACTGCATAACCTGTAAAGGACTGCCTGTGTTTAAGTGCCAGGAACTGACCACTCTCTCCTAAGAATTAAACAGCATTCTCAAGGGCTTTCTCATATTTCCTATCAAGATTCATTATTCAGACATAAAGGACAGCCTTTTCATGTGAGAAAAATCCTAGACTAGTGGTTCAGTGTTTAGTTGTGTTTCCCTTCCCCCCAACACCCAGACAGACCACTTAGGGAATAACTCATAGCTGCCTTTTCAAATCTTATTAATTCAAGTAAAATCCTTGACACTGAGGGTATGGTCATCATTTCAGTGTAAACAACCAACCGTTGAATGGACTAAACTTCCATTTTGGTCTGTGAGTCAGTATCGGCATGAAGATGGATGTGACACGATACATGTAGAACGCATTGATGTAACAGATACACCAAGTTATTACGACTGGGATTTTCCTGATCAAATACACAGAATTTGGACACAGGATGTCTTAAGCAAAAATATTTGTAAGCATATAACAACTTTTCAGAATGCTATTAGATCCAGGGAAATCATGGAATTTAACAATGACAGTACTCTAAGGCTGCAGCGTATTAGGGTGAATACAGAGACTTCATCTGTTCAAGGTGAACTATCAGTGGATTAGTCTGACAAATACATTCTGTGACTCCTGAGCCCTAATGTACATATTTTCTATTTTCAAAGTAATTTCCCATAAATTTGGTAGGATTTCTAATTGTAGGTGAATCTTTCACCAAGATGCATTTCCTGTGACCTGACAGGAATTGCTTCTCTGCTTCAAAATATCATGTGTTCCTCCTAATTTTAATAACTGGTTATTGTCTCTGTCATCGTTAACCTACTTCACGGAACAAATATCTGCAATTTAGTTCATTAAAGCACGGCACTTCTCGTATGTAATTTAACTTGACCGTGTTCTTCTGCGTTATTACAAAAAGTAAATCCTGCCAAAATGAGAAAGTGAGCCAGGGAGCCTTCCCTTGCCAGCTGCATGGCCTCATCAGCCCCGTTCCTGACCCCACGAGGCCTCCAGCGAGAGGCCACACTGCCGCCAAGCCCGTGGACCGCCGGTGGGGTGCCCTGGCCCACCGTGGTGCTGCCGGCGCCAGGTCCGGGAGGGAGACAGGGCCATCTGGGTATGGTAACAGCACGAGTCACATCCCTACAGAGTCCCCGGCTGGACGGTCCAGGACTTGCAGCGCTTGGACTCCTTGGCGGCGGTCCTGTGTATTTGCAAACAGAAGCCATTACAGATATTCTAGGCAGGGCGTTGAGCCAGGTAGGGGGAGAGGATTTCATGCAGACGTCGAAGACTCTCTCAGGACTTCTAATTCTTAAGAGGGAACTGGTGAGGCTGGCGGTCGGTAGCTGTTCCTGGCCGGTCCACATCTCTCCCTCCCACAGCTGCAAGTATGAGGCGAAGGCGGGAGAGGTGGGGGTCACGGTCCCGCCATCCGAGGCTTCAAGGAGGAGGCAGCAGTGGCTTGCGCTGACAGACTCCCCTCCTCCCGGCCTTGCTGACCTGGTGGTAAGCAGACAGCCTCTTACCGTCCTAAGGACGCCCCGCTGCTAAATACTGCTCTTGATTTTCCTAACCGGTTGTGTGGTGTGAGCATCCGAATTGTAACACTTTTTGGGGGTTAAAAAAATAGCCTTTACATGGACAGGGTTTTCTTTGTTCAGTGGATTTGCTGTTATTCAGTGTATTTCAGTTCTGTCAAAAAGCATAAATGTCAAAAATATATATATATAACGTTCTGCTGATTCCATCTTCCAAGTCTCTCTGCTCCTGCTCTGCTTTCCTGCCATCGTGTCTGTCAGCCCCTCTCCATGTGAGCTAGGCCTGGGTCTGCAAAGGCAGTTAACAACAGTCCCTTCATGGATTCCTCTGTATCCTTTTACTGTGCATTTTGCCCCTCTCAGTTCCAGAGAAACCGAGTCCATGGGTTCCACCTTGGCTTAAGAGTCAAGGGCTCCATTGCACAGCGTTTCAGGCCCTTTTATCATTCAGCCCCAGCATCCTCTTCTGCCTACCCCCCCCCCCCCCCCGGCTCCACAGTTAGACTGTTCTCCAGGTTTTACACAACATGGCTGGTCTTTGCCACTGCACTCTTGGGTGCACATTTTCTTCCATCTGGGCATGTCTTCCTCCCCTTTCTGCCTAATCACTCTTCAAGGTCAACCTCACTATGCCTTTCTTGGTTTACTTAGGAGTCAGCCTCTCCCCTGAACCTCCAGAGTTCTTCATTCAAATCTTTATCACGGTTACAGCAGCAGGATCTGTGTTGTTGTCATCGTCTTATCCTAATGGAGGACCTTGTACACAAGAAGCTCCCAGTAACTTTTTACTGAATATTTGCCTGCTGTATGAATGAATGGAAAGGGGCGCCCTGTGTTCATGAAATCGCTCACTGTTTGCAGCCCATTTCAATGTCCTGCTTTGCTAGAGATTTGCCACTTTTGGAAAGATACTGCCTCCAGGTAAAGTCTGTTTTAAGATGGACTAAGAAGTTCAGAGTTGCTGCAAGAGGGCCCTGGGGAGGAAGTACTAAGAGGAATATGTTTACAATACACTTAAAGCTTCAGCTCGAAGTCTGCTAGTCTGCCATACAGCTGACCATTCTGCTGTCCATTCTGCATTGTATCTGCCTGGGAGTCTTTCTGACTTTTGGAAGCCCACACCTTGGCTCGCCTCTTCTTATCTCTATGTCCATCCGCCCCCCCCGCCCCCAGGTGATCTCATCCCATGCTGATGACTTCCAAATTGGCACCTGCAGTTTCCCCCTCTTCTCTCGGCTCCAGTCCTGTGTGCCCACTTCTTAGCACGTGGAACCCACTCGCCTTTGTCCAAGCCACTGTCACTTCTCCTGTGGATCCTGTTACAGTTGCTTCCTAACCAGCATGTTTTCTGCAACCCTTGCTCAATAGAGAACACTCCCTGCACAGTAACTAGAGTGATCCCTTTAAGAAGGAGACTGGTGTTACTTCTCTGCTTAAACACCTTCAATGACTTCCGGTGACTCAAAGTAGAACGTTCTCTCTGCCACACAGTCTTCCATGATTTGTGTCGTAGCCACCCCTACCTTCCCTGCAGCCACACTGGCTGGCCCCTCCGTCGTTCCTGGAAGAAGCCAAGCACATTCTTCATGGCAGCGTCGAAACTTGCTCTCTGTTCTGCCTGGAATGCCTCTCTATTTTCAGAGCACTCTTGCACTTTTCTTAATGGTGCTGAAGTGGCACCACATCAACGAGATCTTCCTGGACGCCAGAAAAGGGCATCTCTTCCACTCCACCCCACTTCCTTATTTTTAAGTAAGTCTAGCACAGCCTGACAAATATTTGTTGTTTATGTCTCTTTCCACTCATTAGTTGATAAGACAGCGGGTGCTTTATCCAACTGCTTCACTACTTTGTCCCTACATAACAACGCCTGCCACAGAAGAGGTCTGCAATAAATATTTGAAGATTTGGTGTGACAAAGCTGCTCCGTATTGCTGTATCTTAAGACCACATATTTTTATGTAGCTATTTTTAAATGAAGTGTACCTAATGTCCTACCTTTAGATCTGAAAGTTACTTTTAATTGGAAACACATGAGAAGGAAAACAGTTCCTCCCAACCCCCACTATTACAGAAGATAAAATGAACTGTCAAAATATGGCTGTTTCTTAAAAAGGTAGAGACACATGTTTTCCTGTGGGGAAAGGAGACCTTATAAACTAAATTATTAGAGCTTAATGCATGATACCAACTGTTTTAAAAAATAATGTTAAGAAAATTAATCAGTATTTTCTGTCAAAGACTATCTCTGGCCAAAACATGTTTCATTTACAGTAATAACTATAGAGTAAGTTACTCAGAGGAATTAACATGTACAATAGCACTTGGTACAGTATAAATCAGATTATCAGATATGTAGGCGCTAAACATTTTTTGGTTGTGAATGATCAAACGTTTGATTAATGGTTAAACTAAAGTTATTTTCCTATTTGTTTATAAATAAATACAACTATAGCCCAAAGAAAAAAGTATTTTGAATAGATTTTTAAGAAATAACTAGACATCCTACTATAATAGCTTGTTCTGTAGCACATACACACCATATTCTATATTTAGCGCTATAGAATTATTATGATTGCACTGGAATTCTCTAATCCTTTTAAAAGATTCTTTGGCAACCACATGATCTGAAAATCTTTTATTTTACCTGTGTTTCAGGAATAATGGGACTGTCTTCAGGAGAAGATCTGAAAAAGGTGGATAATGGTGATGACACAATGATGGGATTTGGCCTCACAAACCCACTCAGGTCACAGCTGGGGATGTCATTCTCTTCTTTCTTCATGACTAGGGTATCCATCACATAAAAGACATTCCATGGAATCCACACAGTGTGATACTGAGTGAGGAATGGGGATCTTTCAAATACCAAAGTTAGAGAAGCCCCACCATTTGCCACCAAGTCAAACCTAAGAAAAAACAAGATATACCTAGTGAATTGTCTGGATCCCAAAAAACGACCAACATTCACCTCCTTAAATTCACCTGATTTATAAAGAAAATCAACTTTTTTCTCCCAACTTTTATATTAGATATCTTCAAATCTAAGGAATATTAAGAGAATTATACTATGAACCCTCATAGCTTCCCTATCTGTTTAGTGATCAGGTAACATCGTCCCAAATTTGCTTTCTAGCTCTTCTTTCTTTGGAACATCTGAGCTTCAGTTGAAGACATCATGAAATACTGCCTCTAAATATTTCAATATGCATCTTCTGAGACGAAGAACATTTTCCTAGAAAACGCCAGCATTGTATCTTGCCTTAGAAAATGAAATACACTTTCAAAAGAAGTACAGGGACTCATGACTTTAAATCTCCGCCACATGTACTGTCGCAGGTTTCTGGAGTCTCAAGGAGCAATGCAAGAATGTCTAGTCGTCATACTTTACAATACTGCAAACAGACAGATTGTGATGGGACGGACTCACATGCCATCCTGACGGGTAATGGTATATCCATATTCTGGGTAATGGAAAAATGAGACATTGACTCCAATGAGGGGAGTTCCATCAGCAGTCAGCACTTGGCCTCTGATGACGGATGCCAGGCTGTGGGAAAAGTAAAAGTCAGAATGAAGACCTGTTTTCTCAGGCCAGCATTAATATGATTTATAGATAATGCAACCTAAACAGAAAATAACACTATCACGTGCTATTGGTTGTAATTTGCAAAAACCAGACTGGAAATACACCCAAGACAGAAAAGCCCCCTTTTAACTCATTGTAATGTACCTTCTCTAAATGCTTTGTGTTTACCCAGGATTTTTAATTTGTTGCAATCTGATTTTTGGAGCATTATCAAGACCAGTAATTTAGAGATGAAGTATTAAAATTACAAACTGTGCTTTTTTCATAAGTCATATATCTTGGGCCTTACATGAAGAAAAGTATATTTTCCAATTAATTCTGAGCAATCTGTAAATCTGCAGGGACCAGGAAGTACAAGATTTAAGGGGGCAATAAGGAACATTTGTGCAACAACTTTTAATCAACTGCTGGGTCTAACTGCATTAATGCTGTTAAATTACTGCAGACCCAGGAGTTCCAGTGTAAATCATCTTCTTTTGCTCATGCGACATGAGACACCTGCTTTCACTTACTGGTTTATTTTCAGGTCATTACTGCCCTGGAAAGCACCAAACAGCTTATGCAATCTTACTGCCATGCCGTTAGCAGTTCCATTACATTAATTCATAATTTATACTATTTAGTGAGCTCAGCTAAAAAAAGAGTGCACTTCTGTTTTGCCTTTTGGGGTCTTTTCATTGCTTCTTCTGAAACATTTCCAACTGTGCCAACAAAAATCAACTCGTTAAAATGAAGATTTATGGACTCCCTAATGGAATGTCCTGTTATGTCTCAGGTCCTGGAAATTGACGAAGTATGTGAACTGTGTCAAAAATGCTTGAAATGTGAAGTTTGGTGAAGTATTTTCCAAGACAAAAAGCTGTATTGAAAAGGGGCACTTTCCTCACATTCCCAGTCGTCAGCATTGCACCTGTGTAACTGCTGGTACCATCAATGCAGGTCTATGTAAGGAAAAGACGCATTCACCTCTTGTTGAAAGGACTTTCTCCAGGTATAACGTGGGTGCTATCAGATCCTATAAGAAAGCTGATTCGATCATAGAAGGACTTGGCAGCTTGCTGAGACGGTGACTGCAAGCTTTGGCTAATGATATCCTGAGGATCTGGCAAGCCACGGCAGTAGGGCTGATTTTGGCAAGAACTCTGTAGGCAGCAATCAGGATCCATACAGTCGATGAGCCCATCTGTAGAGAGCAGCAAATGTAAACCAGTATGAGAATCCACCTTTTAAAGCCATGATGTAGAATAAATATTGTTTGTTGGTTGGTTTTTATTCACAGCAAACAACTTCTCACTTCCTATCTGATAGTAATTTTTAAAAAAAGATTATTTTATTTGAAAGGCAGAGTTACAGAGATAGAGGGACAGATGGATGGAGATGGAGGGGGAGGGGGAGAGAGAAAGAGGGAGAGTGGGAGACAGGGAGAGAGCCAGGGAGGGAGGGAGGGAGGGAGGGAGGGAGGGAGTCTTCCATCTGTCAAGTCACTCCCCAAATAGCTGCGATGGCTGGGGCTGGGCCAGGCTGAAGCCAGGAGCCAGGAACCTCTTCTGGGTCTCCCACATGGGTGCAGGGGCTGAGGGATGTGGGTAGTATCTTCTGCTGCTTTCCCAGGCACATTTGCAGGGAGCTGGATCATAAGTGGAGCAGCCAGACACAAACCGGCACCCATATGGGGTGCTGGAGTCACAGGTGATGGCTTAACTCGCTATATCAGAATGCTGGCTCACAGGCCAGAGGAAATACAATATAATGCATGTGACTACTTCCATAGAGGGTAAATATTTGGATTGAATATGGCTGAAAAGAATCATATGATGTTCATTGCAAGATACAAAAACTTACTGATTAGAACAATATTATTAGTAGCACGAAGGAATATGTATTAGTTATAATTACTCACACCTTCTTTATATTAGAGAAACTGCACTAGGAGTGAATAGTATGCACATGACAAATGGAAAAGGACTTCAGAGGTTGAAGCTCGAAAATGAGGGAAAGGCCGTAAAATTAAAGTTCGTGAAGTGAGGCAAATATGGATAAAAAATGTGTGAGACTGGCCAGTCACCTTTCTATGAAACAGCTCTCCCAAGGTAAAGTGTGTTCTGGATAAAATTAAGACATTTCCCTAATTTTAAAGAGGAGCCTGAGGTCCTTGCCCACCTCCCCTAAAATGGACATATTAACAAAAATTGCAGCAAATGTAAATCAGCCATGATACTGAACATTTTAAGAAACTCATCATGAAAAACTAACCTATGGTTTTGGTGACGTACGGGAGTTACGCACAGAACGAATTTACCAGCACCTTTTCCAGGGACATCAACAGGAAAGGACAGTCATGCACATATAAGACACAGCATATACAATGACGTACCATACATAACACCTGCTAATAAATGACTGTTACTGGCTTAGGTAGTCACTATTCTATACTTTTTATCACTGTTTTCAGGTGTTCACCTACTTATTTTTACAAGGAAGTTTACCATAACACTATATACTGTGTCACGCTGGCAGCAGCCCCATACAGCTCATGTTCAGAGTCGACGCACTGTATCAAGAGGCT